CCTACTGCTAAAAATAAACTAATAATAATTCGATAAAAATAAGTAAAAATAAAACTAAGTTATCTATTCTATCACAAAATGAAAATAAGGATTGATTAAATTCTGATCAATGGGATAATATATTGGAAAAAGCATAAGATGGATTTATTTTTTCTGAAACATATATTTTTTCTTCTCTGACAATTTTTTAAAAAAATAAAAAAGTCTATTATATATGCATATTTACATATGAATCACTCCTTAAGCCTATTATAACATGGCATTATTTAATGGAACAAGTACAAACATGAAGTATTATAACTTTTAAGTTATCCTATATGTAACAATCCTGGATCACATGCCATATAACCTGATTGCCCTGATGACCTGAATCCTCCTGATCAGCCACATGTGATGATACAATATTAACCCTGATGATGTGATTCCTAATTCAAAGTGACTATGAAATGACTATGAAATAATATTACTATATTTAGATAAACTTGGCTATAGTCGTATTCTGTTAATGTGTTTACTTTATTTACTTTATTTACTTTTTTCTTTTTCTATTTCTATTTTCTCTTTTACATGTACTTTTTGTGTTGACTCAAAATGTATAAAAAGGATGTACTTTTGACCTGAATAAACTTAACTTTTTGTTTGAGTTCAATAAATATATCTCTCCAAGTTTACTGTCTAATAAGACTTAGCAGCAGATTTAAAGAACATACCCTACACCTACATCTATATCTAAATACATACACATCTTAAGAGAAACTCAGCTGAAATAGATGCCACTCAATTTGCCACTTTTATGAAAACTTTTCAAGAAACTTTAAAACCCTTGCTATTGAGAAAGGAAAGACCACAACATCAAATTCATCATCATTTTCTTCTACTTCTACCACTCCTTCTCCAAAGATATCTCTCAAAATTCCTACATTTAAAGAACCAGAAGCAAATATTGAAGTTTGAATATACCAGACAAAAAATATCCTACATGCTCAAAAAGTAACAAATAAAGAAAAGATGATCCATTATGTCACCACTGGGTTTGAGAATAGGATGCTGCTTTCCATTGGTTTGTCAATAAGATCAAGGATTCGACAGGTCCTGCATTTACCTCTTGGAATCAATTCAAGAAGGAACTTAAAGATGCTCTCCAACCTCCACACTATTAACAATACCTCCAAACTCAGCTCAAGGCCTTGCATCAAGTAGGAACCATTCAAGAATACAGCTCTCAATTTAAAAATCTGGTTTGCCAAATTGATAATATGGGAGCTTTGAACCAAGTTGCTTACTATTAAAACCTGAACAAGAATGGAAACATATGATGATGCTGTGAAACTAGCAATTCACTATGATAGTGCAATTTTTGACTTAGGAAAACCAAAGACAGAAAGGCATCCCTCAGAATTCATAACCTCCAAGAAGACCTTCAAGAATTGAAATGGACCAATTCTAATGGAATTAGATCAAGCTGAAGCAGGAAAGAAAAAAAAACTTTCCAAAAAGAGGAAAACAAATTACATGTTACAACTTCAGAAAAGAAGGACATATGGCAAGAGAATGTAAAGGAAAATTCAAAGTCAAGGTATTTGTTATAGAAGAACAAGCCTTCTCCTCCAGTGCTGAATTTGTTCACATTGAAGAAAACAAAGAGCAATTGCTACACTTCAATGGAAAAATTAATGGTCACCCTGCTTGGATCCTCTTGGACAGTGGAGCCTCAAGAAACTTTGTTAATAAAAGGTTTGTGACACACTATCAACTGTAAAAATAAGATACCACATCTTTTACTGTAGAGTTGGCTGATGGAAGGAAGAAAGAAGTTATCAATGAAGTCAAGATCAACAAGTTGGGATTAGATACCTACCAAACCACTGGAATTACTTTACAAGTTCTTAACTTGCAAAGATATGATGCCATACTTGAAAACCCTGGTTATATCATGCCAATCCCAACATTGACTGGAGAACCAACACTTTATCTTTTCAGCATGGAAAGCACAACATCAAGGTCAAAGCAAGTTCTAACAGGACCAATCAGAATTCTGAATGACATTCTATAATTATCTCAAGATATCAACTAGCCAGAGTATCACCTACTGATGAACTATTTGCCATCTGTACTATCCCAGAAGAACTCAAGCCCAAAGATAATAGCAAAACAGCAGAGGAACAAGCCATTATGCAATAATTTTGAGATGTATTTCCAGACAACTTGCCAAAACAATTGCCACCAAAAAGAAGAATCGATCATGCCATTGAATTACTGTAATTCCAGGTGCCAAACCTCCATCCCAACCTACATACTGCCTATCTTATTTGGAGATGGATAAGTTGAAGAAACAACTTGCAGATCTAATTGAAAAAATATTTATCTGCCCAAGCACATCACCTTTTGGTACCCCTGTTCTATTTGTACATAAAAAAGAAGAAACATTGCAGCTTTGTGTGAACTATTGTGCCTTAAACAAGATCATTATCAAGAACCAATATCCCCTACCTAAAATTGAAGAATTAATGGATTGATTGGCTGGAGCCAAGTATTTCAGCAAGATTAACATTTACTCAGGATATCACCAAATTTGAATCAAGAAGAAAGATATTCACAAAACCACTTTCAGAACCCACTATGGACTCTATGAGTTCTTGGTGTTACTTTTTGGACTCATCAATGCCTCTGCAACATTTATGACCTTAATAAATAATATCTTCCAGAAATATCTTGATGACTTTGTAATTATCTACCTTGATGATATTTTTATCTACAGCAAGACTAAAGAACATCTAAAACATCTATGAATTATCTTAACAACATTAAGGAAACATTAACTCTATGCCAAGGCAAATAAATGTAAACTAATTCAAACTGAGATTGAATATACTGGACACTACATATCTGCTGAAGGAATTACTGTAGATTCACGAAAGATTACTACTATCCAACAATAGCTGAAATCTAACAATGTATCAAAAGTAAGATCCTTTTTAGGACTAGCAAGCTACTACAGAAAATATATATAAGGATTCTTCATCATAATGATATCTCTTACTGTTCTTCTACACAAGGATAAAGAATTCCACTGGGATATGCCTGAACAAGAAGCCTTTGATCAACTCAAGAAAGCCCTGACCACCACACCTGTATTATTACTCCCAGATCCTATCAAATTATTCACTGTTACCATGATGCCTCTGACTTTGCTATTGAAACTATCCTAACTCAAAATCATGGTAAAGGTGAACAGCCAGTAGCCTACAAGTCAAGAAAATTATCTCCAGCAGAACAAAATTATCCTGTCCATGAGAAAGAACTTCTTGCTATAGTACATGCTATCAGATTATAAAGAATGTACTTAGAAGGCCAACATTTTACAGTGATTACTAATCTTGCTTCCTTGGAATACTAATATTTCAAGACATCAAGCTACAGAAGGTGATCATGGGTATTAAAATAATTGTATTATTATTATTTTTTTTGCATTTTTTAATTTACATGTAGTATAAATTATTAATGATACATTATCTCCTATAAAATTCAATGACTAAAAAAAGTAAAGAATTAACTGCTGAGCAACATGAGGCGATCCTCTATGGATACTTATGTGGTAACTCATAAAAAAATTGCTGAAAGCATTCAGTGTGGCAAGACCACTACTTTTACCATTATAAAATGATATAAAGAAACAGGATCCACAACACCCCAGAAACGAAGTGGCCCAAAACCAATCTTTAACTCTTGTGCACAAATCACACTAAAAAAACTCATTACTCAAAACAACAAGTATCATCATCTCCCTGTTCGCGAAATCAAGAATCTATGGAATAAAAAAAAGAAAGAAAATATATCAGCAGTCACGATTTGGCATACTCTCAAAAAATTGGTTTGCGGTCTTGTGTTGCTCATATAAAGCCCTTAATCTCAGAAAAAAATCAAGAAAAACGGTTGGCTTGGGTGCTGGAATAAGAAGACTGGTCAATTGCAAAGTGACGAAAAGTCAAGTGGTCAGACAAGTCCACATTTAATCAGTTTTCACAGAGTTATAGCTTTCGTGTATGGCAGACACCAGAAGAAGAATTTGACACTTCTTGCTTAAATGTCACAGTAAAGCATAGTCCTTTACAAATGTTCTGGGGGGCTTCTCATGAAATGGGCTTGGATCACTTGTTTTAGTTCATGAATATATGACAGGAAAAGTGTATTCCAAGATATTGCAGAAGCACACTATTCCTTTGTTATATAGGTTAGTTTCTTGTAAAGGAATTTTTCAAGAGGATAATGCCCCTTCCCACTATGCAAAGATCACTGCCAATGTTTATGAGTTAGCAGGCATTTCTGTACTACTCTGGCCTGCACAAAGTCCCAATCTTAGCCCAATCAAGAACCTCTGGAACAAGGTTGATAGGTGGATATGTAATTTGCACAACCAGCCTAAAAATATTCATAATTTAAAACACAAAATAAAAGCTGCATAGTATTCAATTTCACTTGATTATATCCACAAATTAATCGAATGTATGTCTCGCCAAATCTAGGCATGCATCAAGGCCAAAGGTGGCCCAACAAAGTATTAATGATTTAAATTTATAAAAAATAGACAAGAAAAAAAGTTTTGTTAAAAAAAAAATATATATATATATATATAAATGTTAATGAAGTAATTATTACTTCATTGTTCTGATACCATGATTACTCTCTATAGATGGTTGGAAACCTTACAAGCCAATGACTTTGAAGTCAAATATTAACCTAGAAAAACTAATGTTGTTGCTGACGTTCTCTTAAGATAATCTCATCTTGCTGCCATCAGTACTATTATTACACAATTGGCTGATAAACAAACTTTTGAAGAAGGATACACCAATAATAATTACTTCTATTTCATTTTCGCTACCTTAAGGAATCCAAACAATGCCACAGAAAAAGAACAAGAACATGTCAAATATTTTGAACTAAAGAACAATTATATCTATTTTAAGAAAGATCATTGACTAGCAATTCCAAAAGGATATGGATTGCGAAGCCACATTATGAAAGAACACCATGATATAGATATAGCCAGTCACCTTAGAATTGACAAAACTTTGGATGCAATTATGCGACACTACTACTGAAACAAAGCAAGCAATCAAAAACCTGCTGGTCTTCTTCAACCATTATCAACACCAATGTAAAGATGGGAAGAAGTTACTATTGACTTTATTGTACAACTACCAGTAACAAAGAATGTATATGATGTTATTGTAGTTTTTGTTGATTGCCTGACCAAACGAGTACACTTCTGTCCAATGCATACCAGCACCAGAAGTAGTCAAGATATTCTTCAAGTATCATGTATTACCAAAAGTCATTATCTCTGGCCATAATCCCAGATTTACCAGCCACTTTTTGCAAGCCTTATTCCAGCAACTTGGCACCAAAACAGTGATGTCTACTGCTTTTCATTCACAAACTGATGGACAAACTGAATGACTTAACAGAACCTTGGAGAAAATGTTACATATTTATTCCACTTACAAACAAGACCAATGGGATGAATATTTATCAGCTGCCAAGTTTGCCTACAATAACTCCAAACAAGCCTCCACTGGATTCCCATCTTTTGAATTAGATTGTAGATAACATCCCAACACTCCTTATTCTTGAATCATCCAAAAGATTGTTCAGTACCTGCCAATAATGAATTTATGCAATACTGGAGTATAATAACTAAGATCACCAAAGATACCTTAATGGAAGCACAAAATCGACAAACAAAATATGCAAACAAACATAAATGTCATCTTATATTCAAAGAAGGAGATTAAATACTATTGTCACTATGTCACATCAACAATCCTATTGATAGAAATCGACCAATCAAAAGCTCATGCCAAGATTTGCCAAACCATACACCATTGCCAAGATTATTTCCAATACTGTGTACAAGTTAAACTTACCAGCCACACTGAAGATCTATCCAGTATTCCACATGTTACTACTCAATACAAGTCCTCATGTAACAAATCTATAGACGCCCGGCAAAAATCCCGATTTTCTTCGAAAAGTCAGATAACAATCTCTCAAACGATCTTAAATGACTATGTGTATTTTGATGAGAGGAACATCTTTTATTAATGGCCGAAAAGACATTGTCAACACCGATTTCTTAATAATCAAGGATT